AAATTTGGCAGGGAAAACAAGCTGATTTCGCATTTTTGGAGCAATAAATAAAATTTCTACATGGAAAACTCTCTCAGTGGATTCAATCACATCATTCCCTCAAACCCAGTGCAAAAAATATATTGAATTGGTGTTGTGGAAGGTACAAAGTCCATGTCTCAAGAAATTGGCCCTGTGACGCTATGTCACGGCATGTCACTGGTCATCACACTTACCAAGGATTGTGCAACACCATTGAGAGTTCAATTCCTGTAGATGTAAAATTTCTATTTTTACTTAAATATAGTAAGGACACTATAAATACTGTATTCTAATGGTATAATGGTCATCCATGGAATCCATGTGGACTGCTCCATGGAATCCAATGGAATCCATATGGAGTGGTGTTGGAGTCCATATGGAATTAATCATTCCATGACCATTCCATGGTCATTCCATATGGAATCCATGAGGTCTATGGAATAAGAAAATGGCTGGGTCCTCAGCCAACATGGATTCCATACGGAATAACCCGGGGAAGGTAAAGACCTCACACATCCCATGATGAACTTGAGATATGACCAGCTTGCTGATGAGGGACCGGCTCCTTACTTTCATCCATGTTTCTCGTCACATCATCCGCCAATGGACTATCATCCGAGAACGGGGAGTGGCGGTTTCAAAATGTGGTGACTCTAGTCCAAAAAAGGGCAGAACGGCAGGCTACAAGACATGGAATCAATGAGATATGAGTTCTAAGCAACATGGAGAAGATGCGAGCAAAGTAGATGCGAGCGGAGTACAAGATATAGAGACATTGCAGACAGAGTCCAAGAAATGCAAGAGATGGGTGCGAATGGAGTCCAAGAAGTGTGGTATGCAAAGAGAGGAATGCAAGGGAGGGGAGAGCACTTAAATAGGGTATAACATATGCAGTAAGCATGCAAAGGGTTGAAGGCTGCAATGATTGGCATGATGAAAATAGTCACCCTACAGCCATGCAATGGTGTTGGTGTGCTCTGCATGGGCTAACACCTCAAGAGCGGCACTTCAGGTGGTATATTTTCTCTGGAACACATTGGGAATGCTCACACAGACAAGGTCTGCAGCCTCCTGAGCACAACATCAGATTGGCACGACATGGCTCAATGACAGACTTACCAGGCTCCGAAAAACACCAACTGTGCCCCTGCCTTTGAAGACCACATAGGATTAGTCCTTCACCATCTCCACCACATTGCAGGCTGTGCAGTTCCCACAGGCAATGACCAAAATTTGTCATTGGTGCCAGTGCCACCGCTGAGAAGGATCCCATCAACGGGAGGCGGTGGCGGGGTAGCGGGGGGCAATTCTTGCGCAGAGGAAATGGGGGAGTCAGTCACTAAGAGATGGTCAGCTTCTGAAGGGAGACAAGGGAGGAAAGAGGAAAGACAGGCTTACATTCAACAACCATTCGGCTGGGGCTGACAGGCTGGCTGTCAGTGTCGGTAAATATGCTATCATCTGGGGTCTTTCTTAGTTTCATGCATATACATATCGGCAAGAGTTACTTGCCGTTACCAAGCCGTCTCTGTCACGTAACAATGCTTGGTGCATTGGCCAAAATATTGTCTGGAGTAGGAGTACGCATTAGTTGAGAATGCAACAAGAAATATTGATGAACTACCTGAGGCTGGTCTGGCACTGGGCTTGGAGCTGGAGGAGCTGAGTTGGAGGCAGTCTGCGGTGTTCATGAGTGAATGGACTTCGGTCAGAGGGCAGAGTGAGTCGGTGGACTGACCAGGACACATTGAGCAGGCAAAGAAGATGAGGGAGAACAGAACAAAGTTAAAGTGGGGGAATGATGCAGAAGAGGGTTAAGGGGTGAAGTCAGGGTTGGTTGGGTTTATATATGATCAACTGTCCAGTTGATCAGTAATGGCCGTAAGCCACCCAACAACACCCAAAAATAGATTACACCAATGTAGACTTATGTATGAAGGTCGGGACATTGAACCAAGGCAGATTTTCTTTGGTTGGACAAGGGAGCAGCACAGTCTGCAGTTACTGAAATGGATGGACCACACAATTGTTTTTGGTTCATCAAAGATGATCGTGCTAATCTCCATTTTTTAAGCGGAACTAATCTCCATGATTAAGAGATCTGCCTGATCTGTAACGCGGTCCGAGAGATTACCAGTAAACAAACGATGCTCTGCAACATAGAACCTATGGTAGAATATTACACAGTCCGATTCCTGCATGAGAAGCTACGCAGAATTGATTCATAATAATGCAGGATCACACCCATACCCATAAATCGCCCTGTCCCCTGCTAGAAAAAAAAAAGAGTAAAGGTCAGACCATAAGCCAGATTTGTTCCGAGTTTCCCTATTGATACTTACCTTACCCTCTCTCTCCATGGCTCAACCACAGTTATATCATTCCGCCAATGCAAAACGGGATGCCAACAGGGCCAAGAGCACCTGCAGCTACCAAAGGTGAGACAATTAGCTGTACATTACTACCAATAACTCATTCAACAAAGCCATAAGTCTGAAATTCAGGCACGCTGGCAGAAAAAAAGACAAACTCAAAAGTAAGTGGTTCCTGGGACTTCATCACCAGACTTACAACGTACATCCTGTTTAGTCTCTCTATCGAAACCCTTGCCACAGATGCTTCGCCCTCCTCACCATCTGGTACCACTTCCATTCGACAGGTTCGAATGTATGCTAAAATTCATACTCTCCTGGTGTTGCGCTGACACTAGCCTTTGTAGCTCTTCTGACCCAGAGTACTGGACAACTCAGGCTGATTCGTGCCATACAAAATATCGCATGTACATCAAGGGATGCTGCAAATCGTTTGTTGAGGCCGCCGCTCGGGACTACTTAAGAACTACAAAGACGAAATTGCTTTCAAAGGAAATCACCATTCTCAAAGAATTCCGGAGCCACTTCAAGTGCTATGAGGATGAGCTCCTCCATCTTGAAGGAGTTAGTGAGAATTGGCGGGAAGTCCACAAGATGACTTTGGAGGTCAGGGAGACAATTTGTTGGCTTGAGCAGTTGTTGTGTGATGCATTACTGGGGATTTTGGTGTTCCAAGCAGCATACTTAGCGAATGGGTATGCGTATCAGATGTCATGAGTATCCAATGTCGTGACCTTAATGAAATGCAGTGTGTGTTCATCAGAATAGTTCAGCTATGGAAGAGTACATCAGGGTAGAGCATATACATGTCTAACCAAAGCCCGTCTGAATGTCTCTATTTCCCCCTCCTTCAAGCCTGTAATATGGCACCCTCTCACTAGTATCAACCATTGTTTATGAAAAAGTCTGGGCAAGTGCCTGCACAACTTTTTGGACACTGCCCAGGTTTTTTATGAAATGAGAAATGTAGGGCAAGCATTATGAAATGTGTTTCATTCCCTCCCATAGTTGTTTCATTCCCTCCCATAGTTGTTTCATATCTATTTCATTCCTTCCCTATACTTTTTCATAACTATTTCTTTTTTATCTGGCCATTTATTTCATTGCCCCTCAGTCACATTTTTTTCCTGTTTCTTTGTTGCCTAGCCATTCATTTCATTGCCTCCCCAGGGTCATTTCTTTTGTATTTCTTTGCCACCCCAGGATTATTTCTTTCCTACCCAGTCAGCAATTTCATTGCCTCCCCAGGGTTATTTCTTTCCTACCAGTAATTTATTATTGTTGCCTAGCTATTTCATTTCATGTTTGCCTGGTGATGGTTTCATCCTTTTATTTCATTCTTGCCAGGGCAATACTTATTTAATTAATTATGTGAAATAACAGGGTTTTAATTGTCAAATGAGTGCAACATTTGTTATGCTTGCTAGTAGAGGGTGTGGGCCCCATTCTACATAACTTTCAATTTGAGACCATAATATGATAAGGGTGCAAAGGGATAAGCAAGGGAAAGACATTTTACAAGGCATCACATGTATTACATAATCAAGTCCCAGGAAGATATTTACAACTATGAAATGAAATAGCTAGGCAACAATAAGAAATTACTGGGTAGGAAAGAAATAGGAAAGAAATAGTTCTGGGGAGGCAATGAAATTGCCCACTGGGTAGGAAAGAAATAAATGAAATGAATGGCCAGGTAGAAAAGAAATAGGTATGAGAAAGTATAGAGAAGGAATGAAATAGATATGAAACAACTATGGGAGGGAATGAAACACATTTCATAATGCTTGCCCTACATTTCTCATTTCATAAAAAACATGGGCAGTGTCCAAAAAGTTGTGCAGGCACTTGCCCAAACTTTATCATAAAAGTGGTAGGTACCACTCACCCTCTTGAGACAGCCATGATGGCGGCAAGAACCCACAATCCACAGCTGAAGGCATCCTTCTGGACAGCATTCAACAGTAGAGGTTGCGCGGTCTACCCTTCTTCAGTGATGATGTGCAGGGGATGTCCCTCACGGTTGGATGCGAGAACCAAACATGTGATCAAGAGCATAATTTCCTGTGAAAGAGTAAGTATAACAAGATAGCAGATACTCATGGACTAACACCTATCTCCCATTTCCACGGGGCCATGTCGGCAAGACTGTCAAACAGTAAAATGTTCCCTGTGGACACTAGGATCACGGCCAGTACCCAATGGCCAGTTGGGCATGATTGATGGATGGGTAGAAGCCACACGTCTTTACGCCAGAATTCCAGATGACGCGTCTGATGCCAAATTTCGGAATCCAGGCAATTGTAGCGCGCCATGTGGAGATCGAAGGTCGAAAAAATCGCGCACCATTGACTGTCTGCTTCATGGATGTCACTGGGGTGAGACCACCAGTGTTGAAGGAGGGCAGCCATGCTGTTGAGGCAAACATCATTGAGGCGAGACCCTGGGGTTTCGAGGCGTATGATGTCGTCTGCCTCAAAAACGTATAGGTTGGGTTTCGTGTGGGGTACTCAGCACTGGTTTCTGTGAGTTGCTAGTGGCCCGATTGTTTGGAAATGCAGGGCATCAATGAGGTTCCTGTCCTGGACAAGAGATGCCTAATTGTGTGGATATTGTTGAGACAGGGAAATTATGGTGCTGATCCACACTTACGGGGATTTCCCACTTGAGCTCTATAGTGTGTGTGGGTATGTCTTGAACTGTCAACAGTTCATTATCTTGAGGGGTGGTGCCTCATCTTCATCATCTTCATCAACTTCCGCATCGATCATGTTGCCAAATAGGATTTCCCCTGTATCTGTCTGCATGTCGTCCAGGTTTATAAGATCGGCGGTATGATACACCGGATCAGCAAATGTGAGTTCGCCGACATCTTGCATCAGGGGTTGTAGCCAGGTCATCGTTAATGGATCAGGTGAGGGTGAGGTCACACTGACATTGGTAGGGTCCTGGTGTCGGATTTTCAAGGCAGCCTGAACATGTGTGTCGAACCTAGGGCTGGAAGCAAGTGTATTGCTCCAACGAGACTTGAGTGAGATCAGGTGATCACGACAGCTCTTGAGAAGTGTCTGGATAGTTTGGTCTACCAAGGGTTAATAATTTTATTCTCGTTGGGCCGCAATGTACTGACCTGATTGGGAGCTGCCACTCCCAGACACTCTCCCTGTCAAACTCGCAACAGCCCGTTGCTCATGGAGGACATTTGGATCACTCGTACTGCGCTGGAGGTTCCACGTTGGCTTGAGGAAGTCGAGGTTCGGGTGGGAATACGAGCAATGTTAAAGCTCAATCACTGCTTGGAGGAACACCGTCAATTAGGCGTTGAGGCGGACAATCTTTGCCGCTGGTTTGGACGGAAGCTCCTCGCCCTTGAAACAGCTGTGTTGTCACCTTCCAGTGAGTCTTTCCCCTCTAGTTGTTCACAGTAGTTGTTGAATTTTAGAATAGCCCTGAGACGAGCTGGCTTGCGTATCGCAATCACATTTCGCGTGTTTTGGTGAATCTTTGTGCCTGTTGCAGTGTATTAGATACAACACATAGATACAACACACCAAAACGAACCGATAGCATGTTGATGTCCTCCAGTGGCTTGATCCAACCGATCCCACTCAAAAAAACTCCCAATGGCCTGCTTGCGGATGTTTATTTTGAGATCGCATGCTAGCACCAAGAGTTTTACGAAGTCCAGGTCAATATCCTCAAGTTCAGGGAATGAGTCCTGAATGTTTAACGATGCATAGGGTTGTTCAACCTTCTCCTTCAAACACTCTTGAGTTCTAGCTAAGCTGCTTAATGTGGATTTCGAGAATCAATCGGCCAGGCGAGAAATGGCATCATTGGTGGTGTCAATGGTGGTTTGGAGCTTAAGCACAGCATCCAGTTCCTTCTTGAGACGGGCAGGGGCATCTGGTGCTTTAGAATTAGAAATTTTGAGAGATAGAATGGTTCTGTAACCCCCACTGAGTCCGTAACTCACTCACTGGTACACCGCATTTGCTCAAAATCTTCCGCGCCTCATTTTCTTCAGTTGCGATGGTCTTGAGTCTCTGCTGGATCCAATCACTGAGGTCATCCCGTAGCTCAGCTCCTATGGAACAGGATGAGGTCTTATCAGTGCCCCCCTAATTCCTGCAGAAATCCGGTCATTCCTGCGAATTCCGGTGGATTCCAGAGGAATGAAATTTAGCAGGGAGGCCTGCTATTTTCATCATTCCGGTGCCTTACCATTCCGGCGGAATTTGGGCATTCCGGAATTGACACCGGAATGTTCCGCAGGAATGGCAGGAACGGAATCTGGTCAATTATTTGTTTATTTTACTTTTGTTACCAAACAAAGGCAACGCTACCAAACAAAGGCAACGCTACCAAACAAATGCAACACTCTTTCCTTTCCACCCACCAACCATCCTCTTCCCCACCTCCATTCCCTCCCACCAACCACGGTGACAACGGCGACAACGACGACAACACCACACGACCCAACAACGGCCACGACACACCACCAACGAATGGTAACGACCACCGACGTGGCACCACCACCATCCACGAGCGCCCACCACCAACCAGATGACAACGACGTGGCACCACCAGAGCACCGCCATCAACCAACGGCGACCAGCACCCACCACGATTCACGAGCGCCCACCACGATTCACGAGCGCCCACCACGACGACCAGGCGAATGCGGCAACAAAGGTCAGACGACGCGAATACGCGTCGTCTGACGGTGACGACTGGTACGTCGTCACCGTCGGGTTGTTTTGAGCCACCCAAGTGAGTAGCAGGCCTCTCCACCCCCGCTGCTCACTATTCAGGTGCCCCGTCGACGTGGCCAACCTCCTTGCCCCCCACTCCCTGGTTTGCAGCTGCCACCACCCCCGGAAACTCCCCAGCACCCACGAAAACGCCCTAACGCCCACAAAAACCGCACCCCGCCCACGAAAACCACACCCTGCCCACGAAAATGCCCCAGCGCCCACGGAACAACACCCAGCGCCCACACATGAGGTCGACGACGACACCCAACGCCCAGCGCCCACGTACAACATGCGACGACGCCAACACAACAACGGCACGCGACAACGACAACGCGACGACAACATGCGACGTCGACAACGTGACGACAACGACAACGACAACGACACTCGATGGCAACAACACGACGGCGACACACGACGTCGACAACACGACAGCGACATGCAACGTCGACAACGCGACGGCGACATGCAACGTCGACAATGCAAGTCCCCCACCACACTCTCCCCACCCCATTAGTCCCCCCTTCCACCACACTCTCTCCTCACCACTCCTCCCCCCCTCCCTCTACAACACGCTCTCCCTCTGTGTCTCTACCCCCCTTTTCTTGTCCCCACCCCCTTCATCGTCCCTACCCCCTTCCTTGTCCCTACCCCCCCCTGCTTTAATATAGATTGTATGTAGTAAAATACATTTTGTGTCCTTATTAAATAAATTATAATTTGACATATAAATCTATTGCTTGAGATATGGGTTCTATGAGGGATTTTGAGTACTAAGTTATCAGGATAAGGTAGGAGTTGAATAAATACATATGTAGTCACATGATGAAAAGCTGATCAGTAAATTTACATTCATTCCAGTCCTATTCCTGTGGATTCCGGTCCTATTCCTGTGGAATCCTGCGGAATCCAGTTCCATTCCTGTGGAATCCTGTGGAATCTGGTTCCATTCCTGCGGATTCCTGTGGATTCCTGTGGATTCCTGCAGGAATGGGAGGGGCACTATAAAGTACTGAACAGGATTGACGATCAAGCATCCAGATGCGTCGTTGTCACTGTGGAAAGGTCAATAAGCTCAGGAAGGTTAGTATTCATGGATATTGTACCGCTGAAACCTAAGTCACACTGATCATTTTGCATAAACAGGACCAAAAACGCTCCATGCCCTCCCCATCAGAAAGGCTGGGTCCTTCTCAAATACGTGGGTTGTAGATGAGTTGGCACGACCACTGATGAATGTAGGCATGCATGGGACTGGTGCCAAAGTCAGCACAACTGGTGAGGCTTTCGGGAAGTATGTCAAACTGGCTTGTGGTGAGGAAGAGATGTGTGAATGTAGTGGTGCACTTACGAAGTTAAGGCTGCGATCAAGAACACATGCAACATCATAGAGAATGGTCACCGTGGCTGTTGGAGGCAGAAGGGAAAACAGATGTTCTATGAGGGAAACTGCATACTTTTGCTGCTCACCAGGAGTGTCGAGGTTGGCGAGGAAGAGGGGGGCATCATGGTGGCAAACAAGAGCCATCACTCCTCCATCGTCATAGTGATCCATATTCATTTTGATGGTCAACCCACTGCCAGAGTCATGCCCATCTTCACATTCATCCACTGCTTCATCTGGTACTTTGGCGGCTTTGTGAGCTCAGGGAGGCTGGCCCTGCGCCTCCGTGATGTGTTTTCCAACATTGTCGACATACGCCTTGGTAAGAAAGTATTCTGGCCTGTAGAACTCAGGACAATCGCCCGCATCTTTTCTGTGGCGTTGGCTGAAATTGCCATCAGTGGTGACAATGAAATCAGCGCCTCTGGGAACATCCTGGTCAGCATAGCCTGCAACATGGTAGTAATGGTATGTACATAGTGTTTGCAGGTCCAGTTAAGTCCAGTTTTTTACCTCAAAACGACGCAACTGGCAACCGCAACCAGTCTAGACCGATCCAAATATTGAGGGACCGCAACCAGACTGCTTTGGACCAGTCCTAATCGGTCCACAACGTGAAAAAGACTGCTCCAGACCAGTTGTGACCGGTCTTTTGTTGTAAAATTTATTACACCACAGAAACTAAATATTACCTCACATACATTGCATACGTAGATAGATATTTTAATTCTCTGTAGACTGATCAAAAATCTAAGCAATTCTGTCAAGATTTGACTGAGGTAGGGTGAAAACAGAAAGGACGTACAGTTGAATCACATGTATAAAAATGTTTTTGGCCATATCTCAACCAATTCTTGACCGTTTTTGATGGTTCAGGGACTGAGAATTAAGTAAAATGTGCACGAGTAAGGTCCAGCACGTGATGGGACGAAAGACCAGTTGCAACCAGTCTAAACTGGTCTTTTTCGGTTTTTATATATTTACAAAAACAAGGCAACTGGCAACTGGACTGACCACAAATGTGGGCAACTGCAACTGGAAAAAGACCGGACCGTGGTTCAGTCCAGTTCAGTCCTATGTATATTTTCAGTCCTGTAGACTGGACCTGCAAACACTATACGTACATTGCTCCCGAACACCCAAACATCCGCAATCCAAAGCAAGCTGGACAGCGTTGCTGTAGAACCCTCGCGCACTTGACAAGGAGCACAGGAGGTTCAGGTGGGCTGTCATCAGGAGTCAACTTGACAAGGGACAGAGGAGGTTCTGCTAGACTGTAATCAGGGGTCAACTGTTTGGGTATGGGTGCCTCAGGGGTGGTGATGGTAGCCGGGTTGGTTTCCGAGGAGCAAGGAGTGGCGGCATCACCAGCCACAGTCACTGCTTCGAGTTCTTGTTCAATCTGAACTTGCAGGCTGTCATACCACTAAATGGCATGACCGAGGCCTTGACGGAAGGCATCCTGAATGATCTCCCCCTGAAATGAAGAGGTTGTAAGAAAAAAAGGGTGGGTAATAAGCATCAGATGGAGAACCTGATAGTTGCAGTGGACAAAGCCTCAGCGTCCATAAACTAGGTTGACAGCATGAGAATATGTGTATACAGCATTGCATGCACGTTCAAAAAGAGTGTTGTAGTGTTGTATGAGAATAATGGATACAGCCATCCAGGGTTGGGTGGGCGATGTCAGAAAGAGACCATGAAGGATGAGGGTTTCCATAATGTCCTGACATTCGCAACTAGTGACCTCGAAAGTGTCAAAATCTGCCAGAAGGATGTATAAGAATGGCTTGTTGAGAAGACGATGTGGCATGTATGATTGAAACAAAGACAAAGGACTTTTCTGGATTTCGTGATGCATACATCCCCTTTGAGACACATTGAACAAACCCCATCGAGGGGAAAGGTCTTTTTTCCATGGGTAGCTGAGATGAAGGAAAGGAATGGGGACATGAGGCGGGGAATGAGAGCCTGCCACTGCTGGTAAAGGAGGTTGGCCTCTGCATCTGGGCCAGTGCGTTGTACTTTTGCAGGAATGGGCGTCTTTGGTGGTATCGGATTGGATTTTTGAGGGGTGCTAGGACACAAGTCCACGTCTATCCCATTATCTGGCATGGAGAAGTCATCCCCTTCCCCCCAAGCGAAGCCCGACCCTGAGTTGCCCAGATCTCCTGGAACCTCCATGCTTCCCTCACATTCATCTCCCCCTTCATTGTCTTCCTCCTCCCCAGGGTCTGCCAGAAGTCTGGCCAGAACTTCCTGCACGCGACAAAGTTTATCCGCTTGTCCGTGATATGTGACCTGTGTTGAGGTTTTACGACTGTTGTGTCGCTTTTTTGGACTATGGAAGACTCGCCTGAAGCCATTGGTGGCAGGCTGTTGGGCACGCGACTTGCTTACTTCCATCATTGGGGAGTGTCTGCAGCGGGAAAGCTAAGAAAAGAAGGAAAGCGCATGTGATATTTGCAATGGACAACTGAAATATCTAAGTCCCCCAGCGCAGGGACCGCCAGGAGCGGCCAGAGTGCAAGGAGCGCTTTCATCAAGCACTGTTAGAGCTAGAGATCGCAATCTAAGAAAATTGATGATTCGAAGCAAGTATATTTTTAGCCATCACCGCCATCAGTGCTTAGGAAGGCCCCCTCTCAGGCCAATTACCCCCAGACAAAGAATCGGCCTCTAAGGGCCCAGAAGCACATAGAAGTGCTAGGCCTGAGGTGACACAGTACCTTGTTTGGCCTTGTGAGTTTTACCGTACCTTATACGTGTTAATCCATTCCTGGAATGCTTCAGACGACATCCTTGGAACCTTTACACACACGAATTTCACCTTGGAATTCAACTAAGGACATATGCCAAAAGCGGATCTAACTCATACTTAGTGCTTGAAAGTCCAGTCCAGTCCGGTTTTTTGACCCAAAACGAAAAGACCGAGACCTAGACTGGTCCACACAATTCCTAAAACCTCAAAATACTGGACCAGGACCAGAAAAGACCAAGACTGTGGTCTTTTTCTGTCTTTGGACCGGTCTTGGTCCAAACTGGTTACAACCAGTTCAAGACCGGTTTTTCAGCTAAATATGCCATAAATTTTGCAATTGTGAGTCGGTAATTTTATTAACATTCTTCGTAGCTTATAAACGAGTGCAAGAACGTTAAATTACGTTGAGAATTGATGTATATACAAAAATACTAAGGTACATCTGCTATTTTCACGAAATATTTTACAGTTTTTTATGTATCTTTGTCAGTTTTTATCCTAAAAATATGATCTTAGGTGCGTTTTGAAGGGTTTTTATGTAGGTACAAAAGACCGGTCTTAACCGACAAGACCGGTCCATGTAAACCGGTTTTTTTGCGGTCTTGTGATCTCAAAACTGAAAGACCAAGACTGCAGGTCCGGTCTTTTGCAGTCTTGGTCTGGTCCAGTTGCGGTCTTTTTGCAATCTTGGGACTGGACTTCCAAGCACTACTCATACTCAAAGAGCGAACCTTGGTAGCACCGCTTCCACCTCCTCTAAAAGGGCTCTGTCGGGTTTTCTCTACTTTGTCGCTATGTCTCATCGTTCTTGATGGGGCCCACTGCTCTCACTGCTTGTATTGTCGCCCGTTCTCATTGGTTCACCATGGTTGGCTTACAGGCGACATCGCTGTAAGTGCAAACTTCTTGATAGGAACTGCCAACTTATACACAACTAGATCTGCCTGTAACTTTGACTGGGCTGTAAGTATACTTTTGAGCAGGTTCTTTCTGGTCCCGAGCTGACGGTTGTCGATTGAATCTGTAACAGGCCTGCCTCATGTCTTGGGGGCGCGAATCCTCAGCGTTGTGAAGCATCTATCAGAAGACATTGGTTATCAGACTGTAGGCACCTTGGAACATGCCCTGGCGGACAAATACATGGTTGCGCAAGCGGAAGAGGTCAAGAAGAACTGTGAGAAACTAATGGCGGAAAGTGGAAGGAAGCTGGAATGTGAGGTGAGGTGTGGAGATGGGAAGGAAGTGGGAGCCACAGGTGTGTACAACGATGCATCTCGATCTTGGTTTGCTTAACCCTTCTTCAAAGATTTGATATGATGGGCAAACATCTCTACAAGACCTATGTTAATCCACCAACATCATTGTCAGAGTCTCAGACAGCACGCTAGAGGGCAAGGAGCACGCAGTGCTTGTCAACTCCCATTTGGACATAGTGCTTGGAAGTCCGGTCCAGTAAGACTGGGACTGAGACCGGTCCTCACAGGTTGACAAACCTCGAAAAACTGGACTGAACCAATGTCAACCGGTTCAGTGTGGTTTTCATCGGTTTTTGTCAGTTGAAAGACTGGTCTCAACCAGTCTCAGTCTTAACTGGTTGAGACTGGTTGAGGACCGGTCTCGTAGCTACTGACATGGGGAAAATGTGTATGTAATTTACTAAATATACGAGTACTACATGAGGGTGAACAACAAGGGGCAGGGGGGCAGGGGGAGCACTCGTGCATCCTTGTTATTGTCCATCGTCGCCTGTCTCATATTCTTCACATCATCTATCGGTCGTCCATTGTCGTGGTGGTCATCTGTTGTCGCTGCCATGTCATGTTATCGTCGTCCACCTATCTCCATCGTCGTCACATGGCCGTCATCGTGTGTTGTTGTCAACACCAAAGGTGGCAGAGGGTGAGGGAGTGACGTGGCAGTGGTTGGCGGGTGTGACGATGGCTGCTGGGTGTTGTGAGGACAAATAGGGGGACCGGTAGGGCTTATGATGCACTGTACTCACCATTTGATGTGCCGCGTCATCTCCATCCGCTGTTGACATCGCAGGCGCTCATTGCACCATGGTCATGGATGTTGTTGCTGAGCATCCAGCGTGTGAGGTGGTGGTCGATGTGTGAGTGAACAGGTCGTTTAGCCCATCACAGGCGCTCACGATGTGAATTGGTAGTCACGAAAGGTGGTGACAGTGATGGGGAAGGTGGTGGAAGTGTTTGTATTTGGGTTTGTATTTGGCTATGAGTTGTGTTTGCATTTGGTGTTTGTGTTTGGTTATGAGTTCCGGTTGAGACTGGTTAAACTGGTCTTTTGTTGGTCTTCACGGTCTTCAAATTTTCGAAATCATGAGAGACTGAAGACCGGACCGCGGTTGCGGTCTTTGACGGTCCTGGGAATTTCCAGTCTTGGGCAGTCTTGGTCCAGTCCAGTCTCAGTCTTTTTTCAGTCTTGGGACTGGACTTCCAAGCACTATTTGGACAGCACATTGCCAAGCCCAGGAGCTCCAGATGATGCCATTTCAGTTGGTGTAATGTTAGAGTGCATGTGTGTTCTCATTGAGACGCCTACATGAATGGCTCTGGAGCGACGGACGTCATGCCTACCCCTGTTCATTGTGAATGGATGTCATGCTTACCCCTGTTGTGATGGATGGCTATAACTCTGATTGGGACTCACTGTACCCATTCTCTACTGTGAGCTTTGGCCTGAATCTGCTTTCCTGCAGCAACTGATGCCTTTGTAGTTCTTGACCCCTTACAAGGTCCTGCTGGCTGTGGAACCGGGATACATATCAATTAGAATAGCTATATTTAATAATGATACCTTGAAGCTTGTAATTAGAAGTCTTGGCCTGCTTGTGTTCAAATGTTCAAATCAAAATTCCCCACAATGCCAGCTCTGCTGAGTAGCAGATATGAGGAGATTCCAAATCCAAGTTTTTTGATGATCCCATTCCTATGGAATGACCCCATACTTTTTCATAAATGGCAAATTTTGAACATATTCTATCTGAAGAAGGCATCCTTGCCTTGGGTAGTAATTTGGCTAAAGTTCATGCCTTTGCAATAAATAAAGTCTTGCAAAATTCTTGTTTTCCTTCAGAGGTCATGCCATTGTGATGGATACAACATTAATTTATTTGTCATGAATATAAATGGCCTGGCAAGATATACACTTTTAAGTGGCTTGTGATGGATTATTCACAGTGAAAATGGCCAAACCCTGGGATAAAGCCCAATCAAGCTAATTTTCAAGTGAATTTTCAAAGGATCAAGTTCACCCTATAGCCTCCACTTGTAGCTTAAAATGTCAGAAGAAATCTGAAGAACCAGTCCACAAAAAATGGAGCCCAGTGGATCAGTATTACAGCCTGGAGAAATAATTTTCATATTTTGTAAAAAGGACCCCAGACACCCTGTGACAGCTATGGAATGATGGTATGGAATGGTATGGTATGGTATGAGGTGGAATGGTATGTGGCATCCATACCATGGTATAATGGAATTGGTATGAGGGTCATACCACTCTGGAATGGGGTACCACTAAGGTTCCCTAATTCAAAGAATTGGATAACCTCATAGGTACCCAAAAATGGGTGACTGAAGTGATAGGTGAGGGCATGATATGCCTGCCATGCTTGGAGCATCTTGGGCTTAGCCTTGACCTTTAATATGCCATGAGTGCCCCTGTTTGAAGCCATGTTCCTTGTATTGTTGTGGAACCAATTGCGGACACGCTATGTAAGAGTCAATTAGAATGTTAGCCTTTATGATTGGTGACCACGTACCTTGTCATACTTCTTGTGCTTCTTCTTCGTTGCAGATTCTTCAGAACTGGCCTTCTCGACTTCCTCTGGTGTGGCTGGGGACACAGGCCATTTTTCACAGAAGTCCTTGACCATATCTGGAAAGAATTCTTTGGTGGCGGCTTTCCACTGATTGACCTCGATGAACTGGGCTTTGTGTGAATCAAGCCAATTATTTTGATCTTTGTCAGCCCACGAAGCGTGTGTCATATTGAGTGAGTCGTGTTACTGAATGAGCTGAGTTATTGAAGGAGCTGCATAAAGTCAAATCGAAATCTGGGAGCGCTAGTATTAGCTTCTTGCTATGTGGATCCAGCCACAGACCACTCCAATCACTGGTCGTCTTTTGTCATGTTTGGGCCTCTGCTCTGCATTGGGTCTCTTTTTTTTTTTCCTTCCCACTCCACACCAAGAATGGCCAGTGGACGAAAAGGCGAGCCTCTCACATGTATCAAGTCTCAGTTCTCTGACAACACCAATAGATACATCGGACGTCAAGCTTTTGCAGGAGTCTGCCGGCGCTGCCAGTGCTCAGACTGTCACTGTAGTCATTGATCGTGAACGCCTTCGTCAAGTTGAAACACTGCTGCAACACCTTAATCAACCTCCACTCGTTCCAACTGCCGTGAATGAGCCCAACGTCTTGGAGGGGAATGTCGAGTCTGACGGACTTGGCTCCCCCATGCCTTTTTCTGCAGGTAACCCACTCGAAGGACTTCGGCATCACCTTGGTCACCGTCCACTTCACCATTCGCCTGTACCATCCCCACCGAACCATGGTGCTCTGTGTCACCGTCCACTTCACCATTCGCCTGTACCATATGTACGGAACCTCGGTGCCTTGCAAGAAAACACCAAGTATTGTGAAGTCGAAACCATTGGGCATCCTTATAATGACAACCCACTTTTCAGTTTGCCGCAAGACAGGTGCTACGAGCAATCCAAGTTGCAGGACTTAACAGCCGCATTTACGTGTCTCTACATCCAACAATCCTGGCTCAAGCACTGGAGCCTTGTTCCAAGCCCGTACCCCGCCTGGTTCCTCGGCGACCTGTCTTTCTCCTAGGAAGGGTTTAAAGTATTATGCCATCATCATTGGAAAATGCACCGGCATTTACTATGGTGAATGGTATGCAAACATTCAACTCTCAAATGTCCTATTTTACTGACATGCACTTGTTAAGGGATGATGTCAGGTGCCTCATAGACTATGTTACAGGTGCTCGATACAAGTCCTTCAAGTCTCTTGCAGAGGCGGCCGAGTTTTACCTAGAGCATAAGACAAAGCATAAAGTTAGGGTGGTTCGTAATCCAGGAGATGGGGATAGGTTTGGTCCTGAGGCTGATGCCATTCAGTAGTTGCTTGTAAAATTGTGATAGTCTGCTTTGAATCTATTGTCATTTCATATGCCCTTCATTGGTTTGAATTCAAGACCAGTAATTATAAGTCGGTAGTAGCCAAGTAGCAGTAGTGGTACATTGACTACTAAGGGTTAACATGCTCAAGAACTGACCAACCTTGATGCCGCCTTTGTATTCAGGAAAGTGATATAGCACCAGTATGTTAGATATCAGAAGTAACTGACTTACTACAGCATTGAACAATGGCTTGCAAAGCCCTAAGGGTTACTAACATGCTCGAACAATCATGACCACAGGCTGACAACCTCTATGCCGCCTTTGTATTCAGGAATGTAATATAACACCAGTCCGTTAAATATAAGAACTAATTTACTTACTACGGCTTGCAAAGCCATCATAGCATCATAGACTTCAGAAGACGCACACAAGCTCGGAGCATTTGAACTTGTACAATGTTCTTGAACGTTGATAATCATATATTGACAATGTTTGTGTGCCACTCACCCTACAGCCTGAGTAAAGTAAATGGATATGACCAGGACAATCAGAACGGCCTCAACGTAATATAAGTCTTTAGCAATACTGGTTAAGCTCCGTCCTTAGGAGTTGGATGACATTGGCAAGCGAGTGTCGAGTCGAAGTTCACTGAAGAAACCACTTTTGCATTTTCAACTGACTACTGAGTGAAAATCCTGGTGGTCCTCCGCTTTGAAAGAAGTTGTTACCTGAGTTTTTGAGCCGCTTTTACCTTGCTATCTGTGGAAGTTTGCCAATTTCAATCTTGGGGAACAGGAGACATAACAATATACTAAGTAAGTTACTTACCACATATGGCACCAGGGCACAGAATCTTATCCCAATTTCATTCCTTGCGCAGGAAATCTCATTAATTTTGCTTCATGTCTCCTCTACTAGCGCCCATGTCGAAACAGCCAAATCCTCCTGCACCTGGTCCTGGCCATGAACCTCCTACTAAATGGTCTCGTAAGATGGCAGGATTTCGACTGGCCCGTCCTCAGCCTTCCATCTCCCAACCTCCCTCTGCTTCCAGTTCTTTGTTGTTCGTCATGGTCAGCACTGATTCTCGTTGACGTGGCGTGACGCTTGAGAGCCACCTCTTACCTTCTTCTACCCTTGAGCCATCTGAATCAGCTTCGGATTCCAACACACCATCTACAGCAGCTGTTGGTGGTGACTGCGAAGCATAGACCACGTCGCCAGAGGAGGTTGGAGGTACCCCATCAGCCAAGACTACTGCTAAAGCTAAAAGGAAAAGGTATACAACAAACACTGTATGTCAATACCTCAAATGCTTCCCTGAAATACATTCTGACTTACGTTTTTCAGGATCGACTGACCGAATGGCTCAAATTCAGGGAAACATTCTTGGATGAAGCATTGCGGCATGACGGACTGGGTGATTTCCTCAGGCATATGAGCTGCTCAAATTGCGGAAAGAAGGATGGAACCATCAAATGCAAGGATTGTGGAGACGGAGGTATGTTAAAGTGCTTGGATCGCACTGTTGATGCGCACTGCAGACATCCATTGCACTGCATTGAGGTCAGCGTGTCGTTACTCACATGATGAGAAGTTGTCAGCTGACTGTCTTTTGTCATCAGAGATGGAACAGTGCTTTTTTCGAGAAGGTGTCCCTTCAAAGCCTTGGTCTTTACTACCAACTTGGTCATTCAGGAGTGCCATGCCCTTGTCCTCAGCCTGGTCCTAAGAACTTCCTCATCTTCGATGTCTCCAGCCCTCATTATGTCACTATCAACTACTGCCACTGCCAAGATGAACCCTCGTCAAATTGGGTACAATTGTTGCGTGAAAGTTGGTTTCCTGCAACACTTCAACGTCTTCAAACCATCTTCACTTTCCGGTGTCTGGAAACTTTCCACAAACTAACCCTCCAAGGGAAAACCAACCTTTACGACTACTATCACACCCTTCTCCGACTATCAGACAATGCCAACCTATCCGCTCCCATCGTAAGTCTGTGATCACCCTCAAATCTTGCTACCAATTCTGATTTTAACAGTACCAATATCCCGAGATCCACCGAGTATTTAGGATGTGGCGAAACTTGATGGCTCTCAAGCGAGCCAGTCGTGGTCATGACCCAGATGGCGTGAGTGGAACCTCGCAAGGTGGGCTCATGGTTGAATGTCCTGCATGTCCGCACCCCGAACAAAACCTCCCTGATGGATGGGAAAGGGCTGGACCATTGTTGTGAGTTTTCTTGATTGTTTTCCTGCTTTTACTTCACTAACTGACTGAGCAGGTTTCTTTACGCACTTTTTATCGCCGTGGATGGCAACTTCAAACTCAAGGGCAAGGAACGAAACCTCAAGGACGTGGAGTTGATGCCTGGATGGGGAGCCTACGTCCTGGAGGACGAGTACCAGAAACACCTTGCGAATTACATTGGAAAGGGCAGAAGGGCTTCCCCAGCGTGTAGCTGACTGGGTAAGTGGTGGTATTGTGGTGAGTAGCTACTACATGTGATGTGTGTATGTACGTGCACATGACTGCCCTCTGGAGCAGGGAATCCCTATTCCATCTGCTCCCTTCCCATAAGGTGACGTCCCCGTCGCCAGCTGCTGAAAAGGAAGAAAAAATCTAAGAGGACTAAGAAAGATGTAAAGTAGAAATCCAAAAGTAAGCAAAGCAATGAAAGAAAAAGATGTGATGGACACAATAGAAATGTAAAGAAATATCACCAATGAATCCAACCAAGTGCCTTTAAAGCTTGACTCAAATCTGAGAGGCGTGGATCAGATTCCCAATCAAGAGCCATAGGAATCTTCAACGGGGTTGATGGCAATGGCAGTGCAGTGAGGTTCAAGACTGGAATGAAGCGTTGACGAGGAACAGTTTGAAAGACAGGGAAGAATGGTGGGGTTCGACGTGGTTGGAATGGTGGCCGGGGCCCAGAAATGTCACACTTTCCCAATGGCAATCGAGAACGGCGATTCCGATGGGCTAACAAGCTGAAGGGGTTGGGGTTGGTGGTGCGGAGGGCAGAAAGGTCACAGTGAGGTTGGTTTTTAGGGAATATGGGGACAATAGGTATGGAGGCGGCGTTGTCAGACCAATCAAAGGCTGGGGGATCCAAGGTAGGAGCAGTGGTGGCAGCAGGGGGCAAATCCATAAGCTGGGCTTGAGCTTCAGCATTGACAAGAAGAGGCAGAGTGGTCTGGGATGAGGAAGTGTGATGTGAGGGGGAAACCTGAATAGCAGCGTCAAGAGAAGGTGGGCGAGCCTCAATGGAATCAACCTGAACCATAGCATCAAGCTTGTTGGCAGTGCAGGTGTGTCCCTCAGGAAGTCCTACATCGCAAGAGAAGCAATCTGTTTTTGTGTCAAAACACCAGAAGCTGTGGCCTGCTGCCTCCCATTCCTTCCTCTCATTCAGTATTCCCATTATCTGTCCTTCATCTGCACCATCACGAAATGCCTGCTTCACATCCTTGTCCTTGAAAAACTCTGTTCCCCTTTGAAATCCATCCCTTGACCCTTCCCGAAAGGCGTGCGCCCAAATGAGGCCTAATGGCGAGTCCGGCGATGATGTGGCGAGAGTGATGAGCTTTGCCAGACTCTCTTCTGATACTGGTGGTGGTGGCAATGATGCTGCTGCTGGTTTTGATGCGGATGTGGATGCGGGCGCTGGCGGCATTACTGCAGGTGGTGCCTGACTGACAGGCTTCTTCTTTGAAGTGGTCTTCTTTTCCAGCATGGTGACGTAAGGCGGAAGGCAGTGATGTCACAAGGCACGACATAGATGGTATAGACGTGGAGACGAAGACAGTGAGACGGTAAGATGTATGGCATAGGACGGGGGATGATACAGGACGCGACGATGTTGATGAGGTGGCAGTAGAGACACCCAGAATGAGACTAGAGCACAGAAATGAAGCAGAGAGCAAGAGCTAACGTGTTAAAGCACGAAACACACACTCATCACCAAGTGGGAAAGGTGGAAGGGCTTCCCCAGCATGTAGCTGACTGGGTAAGTGGTGGTATTGCAGTGAGTAGCTACTACATGTGATGTGTGTATGTACGTGCACGTGACTGCGCTCTGGAGCAGGGAATCCCTATTCCAACATCCATGAACCTGAGGTTAGTCAGAACAAATTTGTTTGCTACTCAATGAACTGATTGAATTTCGGGTAGATCAATACATGTGAATCTCAGCATGATGCACTTGTTTGTGCCAGCACTCGATCAACAGCCAGTTATGCCGTCTCTGGTGCCGTTTTAGTCATTTGCTCGAGACACTGTCTAATATGCAAAAACGGAGCGGGGGACCTGAACGCCTTGTCATCACCTACGATATCATCTGCCAGTGGTCAAAGAACTTCCAAAAACGGATGAAAATTTACCCTGAAAACATGCGAATCCTCGAGACAATGCAGGTTGAGGTGGCCATCCCTGGTTGGCACATTAACGGACATGGTGAGGGCTGTCAGACAAATTTTAACCTCAGCTACATGGAGGGAGCTGGTAGGACGGTCGGTGAAGATATTGAAACAACATGGGCAGGTACAAATCAATTAGTGCCTAGTGTTCGAGAGATGGGTCCGGCAGCGAGGCATGACACCCTGAACGATCAGTGGAATGGCTGGAACTTTCGAAAAATTGTTGGTTTTCATAAGAGTTTTTTTTCCTTGCAGTTCATCCCCATACTCACAGTCTTTCGCCACCAGGAACTTTGTTTTTAAAGTGCTTCAAAGATGCGTTCACATTCAGCACTCAACAAGTGGATGTTTTTGATCAGTTTTCCACCAAATTTAGTCCCTCGGCTGTCAAGAAGTGGGAAGAAATGGTCATCACGTGGAACGCGAATCTGAAGGCTCAAAACCCTTATCATGACTGACCAAGCGGTAAGATATAATTGTTTTTGTGTAAGTGTCTAATTATACATTAAGGAACTACGTTACAAGATATCCAGCTTGTGTTGGCGAGGGAAGAAGCTGCCCAAGCTGCCCTTGGCCAGCTTCCTCGACACAAAGTTAGTTTGTCAAGCTTCCTACTGATTGGCTTCGACTTGGAGGATAGCCAGTAAGTGTACTATACCTTTGTGTTTCAAATTATTGTCTCAATGTGTGTAGATATCTTCTCCGCCGCAAAGCCAGCAAAGCGAAAGGATTACGGATGAGTAAGCAGCTCACGGATCTTCAAAACAAGCGAAATGTGTTATATTGTCTCATCCAAAACTGGCGCAAGGTCCAACTTTTCTATATTCCTCACGTCAGCTCCCTTCTTTTGCAAGCCCAACCTCCTGAGGCTACAACTACAAGCTCGTCGACACCATTGCCATCAGAAGCCCTAGCTGAGAACCTTCCCCTCTTCCTTCCATCATCATTGCCGCCATGTATTTGTGCTCTCCCAGAGCTCAAGGGAATCTGCTCCCTTGAACTACAATTACACTGACTGCAAGCCGATGATGCTCTCGCCGAGGTCCGACGTCAGCGCCGTGTTATCCAAGGGCTCTGGCTCTTCAAGCGGCTAAATGTATCGGGGATTGGAAATCGGCCAAACACGCGCATGATCGGCCTATACAAATGTTTCAACGACAAAACAGATTGAGCGGCCGAAAAGTACTGTTGTGCTCAGTGTGCTCTGTCTAGTCTCGATCCTGGTGGTTTGTGGTCATTGCAACTGCATGAACTCAAGCCTAAGGATGTTAGCGGCCCTGGTAGGGATCCTGAAGTAACAAACACCACAAATAGTCGTTACCAGCCATCGTGGATCTGGCTGGCACAACGCGCGAGCCCCCACAACCACTCAGAGTTGGAAATCGGTGAAGACGAGTTTAATGACAGCATGTGTGTGGAGTGGGCGAAGGCAAGGGCTCAAATGAAGAGGTGGAATGAAGAGCTGATGCTTGTTCAAGAGGAGATGCGACGTGTCATTGCTTATCACAAGTGGAGGGCTGATTGGTGGCGTGAGCGCAGCGTAAGATGAAACCATGATGATCTAAAGGTCTCGAGTGGGATTTCGGGTTACACATATAAACAGGCTGACATCTGTGAATGTTTGGCAGTGCAGTGCGCAGTCCATTGGCTGCCGCACCTCAAAGTGAGAGGTATTATACTGTCATGGGCATCTGATTATGAGCATATGCTCTTGGATGTCCCTGTGCCATGGCAAAATGCTGATGCAGACGTTAATGTCCCATCTGGTCATCCTGATGATGAGGATATTGGAGATGACAATGAACTTGATAGTGAAGACAGAGATGAGGACGTTGAGGCAGATGACACTGACTCTTCTAATCTAGATGATATAGACTATTAACTGTACTAGGGTAGTTGACTTTGTATTAAGCATTAAGTAGTTAGGCCCCAATGAAATATTGACTGGATACAATGAGATTGGTGCCTGGGTAGCTATGAACCAGGTGGGAAAGAAATTATAATGAAGTAAGGAAGGCAGAAAGTAAGGCAGAAATAAATTTGCACTAAAATGTACCTGGGTGGGCAATGAAATCAAAGACTGGGAAGGAATGAAATGGCAATGAAATAAGGGTAGGTAGTCATTGAATTAAAGGCCAAGGCTGGGTGGGCAATGCAATGTAAGGCCAATGAAATTGAAGGGACAGCAATGAAATGGAGGTAGGCAGCAATGAAAGAAGGGTGGGTGGGCAATGAAATACAAAGCCAGGCAGCAATGAAATGGGGGTGGGTGGGCAATGAAATTAAATAGGCAGTAATGAAAGAAGGGTGGGTGGGTAATGAAATTAAAGGCTAGGCAGCAATGAAAGAAGGGTGGGTAGGCAATGAAATACAAAGCCAGGCAGCAATGAAATGGGGGTGGGTGGGCAATGAAATTGAAGGCCAGGTAGGAATGAAATTACAATGAAATAAGGCTGGGTGGGCTATGAAATCAAGGGCCAGGTAGGAATGAAATAATAAATGAAATGATGGTAGGCATGAAAAATGAAATAGTTTTGAAGGACAGGATTGAAATGAGGACTGGCAGAGAAATGAAATACATTTTATAACAGTTGCCTAGGTTTCTCATTTCATAAATTCCTTAGGCAGTGTGGATGTGAGTGTGCAGGCACTTGTCTGTACTTTATCATAAAAGTGGTAGCTACCACTCAAACGCTGACGCTCAATTTAGTGCCATCAACAAACCCTCAACCCTCTTCTTCCTCAACTACAACCATCCTCCATGACGACCCCCCCCCCTCCTCACCACATCGCCTACGACGGACGACGACAACCACGGACGGCATGACACGACCACCGAATGGCGAACACAGCCCACCATCAGCACCCATGCACCCACAAATGCCCACAACGGCCCATCACCACCCCCCACCAACGGCAACGAGGAGCCACCAGCACTGTAAGGGGTCAATACCAAAGGCATTCCCTTCACATTATATTTCCCATTCAACAGTGCATGTATCCTGCTCTAGACTGAATCTTCGTCTACTACCTTCAGAGTCACGCGGTCACATATTAGTCATGTTTAGTCACATTTTGTATGTCTTTGCAGTAAACAGAAAAGAATAGTACTTCTTCTTTCACCATATTCTTTTCCTATCTTGTTGCACGAGCATTGTACTCACGACTCGCCTCAAGCCTGTTGAAGATTCGCGTTCGAAGAGATCAAGGTCAGTTCTCATATAACTAACTTTAGGAGCTTGTGTCTCCTGTGAAAGCTAACGAAGCTTTCTTATATTTTCCCATTTTTCCAAAGGAACTTGTTCACTCCCTTCTGCGGCTTTCCGAGAAGGTTGAGACGTTCGTGCTCGTGGTCATCCAGGGCATGAGCGGACTCTCGCGTGATCAGGCTTCTTCCTTCTCTCTAGACTCAGACCTGCATTTAGGGTCATCACACCATTACTCAACCCTTACGTTTGACGTTCGCCAGACTTACTCGCCGTTGGTAAGAATCCCACTCAGCGACTAAACCCCCTTAGAACAGGGTTGCGCAAGCACCAGCACCACCCACTAACGTCGATGACGGCCCACCAGCAGCAGCCACCGCCATCCACGAGACGACCAGAACGACATGGTAATGCCACATCACCAGCCCCAGGAAATGAACAAGCGCCCACCAGATTGACACGAGGTGATGACGACGATGTGGCACGTCAGTGGACGTGCTGCCTCATCTGACGGTGACGACGCCCGACATTGTTGCCATCCACATGAGGTGTCATTTATTCATGGTAAGTACCCCCTGTTCCTCTTCATCCCAACCAGCTCACGACAGCCCAGGATGACGCAAACGACAACAACACGTCCACGGCCCATCACCACCTCCCACGAGAACTCCCCACCACCCGACGGCACAACACCACAACACAAGACGACAACAGCACAACGATGACAGTACATAACGACAATGGTACGCAATGGACAACACAACGAGACACAAACGGTGATGAAGACCACCCACCAATGGCAACAATGGCCCAGCACTACCCCCCAGCAACGGCAACGACGGCCTAGCACCACCACCCAATGACATGAGACCACAACCACATACAAACAGACGATGCCGACGACACACCACGTCGACGACGATACAACACAACAACACAATGACGACGACCAACATCACAATGATGACAACACAACACGACGCGACACGGAAATGACTGCCCATGTATGAAGACGATCGCCCACAACGACAAACGGCATTTGTTCCCACAGCACTCCCTCCCTCTCACTCCCCCTCACTCCCCCACTCCCCCTCCCTCCATCGCTCCACTCGCTCCCCCCTCCATCACTGTACTGCCTCCCCCTTAGATTAGTTCAATACTTTTTGTATATAGTTATCAATACAATATGTATGTTCAATCATCACTTTTGTATGAAATTCTAAGGTCTAAGTTACACAAAGTGGTTAGGTAATGGGTGAGGAGTGATAAGTATTGGTTATTCAGGGATTGAACTTGGAATGTGTTGGAATGAAGTTGGAATGTTGGAATTCCACTTGGAATCCAACTTGGAATCTGTTGGAATTCCACTTGGAATCTGTTGGAATGAACTTGGAATCTGTCGGAATTCCACTTGGAATCTGGTGGAATCCACAGGAATCCAAGGGGGTTCAAGAATTTAAAAAAAGTAGCCGGGGTCGAATTTTTTTGTCAGGCCCTGTGTGCTTGACCTACCTACCTACGTAATCAGGCACATGCCTATATATGGCAATATGACATCATCATGATCACTTTGATCCAACAAAGGCTTCGCATACCCAATTTCGTGGGGCTATCTCCAATGTCACACATTGTAGGTGGTACTAAAAAATAAGTGAGTGTAGTGTAGTGTTTGGAAGTCCGGTCTCGTGACTGGAAAAAGACCGTAACCAGACCGGACCAAGACCGCAAAAGACCGGACCTGCGGTTACGGTCTTTTATTTTTGAAATGTAAAGACCGCAAAAAAACCGGTTAACGTGAACCGGTCTTTTGTAGCCCCTTAAATACCCTTTAAAACGCACCCAAGAACGTACAAAAACGAGAGAGATATGAATTAAAATGTAAATTACTTTTGGGAATAATAGATGTACCAGACTTATTTTATAGAAGCACCAATTCCTAACGGAATTTAACGTTCTCGGGCTCGTTTTGAAGCTATTAGAGATGTTAATAAATTTACCGATTCATAATTTTAAAATATTGCCTAAAGACCGGTCATAAACCGGTTAAAACTGATGCAGACCGAAACCGGTCTATAGACCGCAAAAAACCGTGGTCTGCGGTCTTTTTGCGGTCCGGTCTGGTCTTTTGACTTCTGGGGAAAAGGCAGACCGGTTACGGTTACGGTTAATGCCCCTGGGCATCAAAAAACCGGACCAAACCGGACTCTCAAACACTAGTGTAGTGATTAACTTGTGCAAGACTGATACTCACCCATTGAGTTTCACATCCAACCCTTTTACATTTTACCAAGCCATTGCATTCTGAGTGCAATACCACACCACACAGGCATCCATTTAGAGCGTCTGATGTGTCAAAAGCATCAAGATGTTTTGAGTTTTGAAATCAGGTCACACAGCATACCCATCAGTGTCAAGAACTGGTCTCTAACTGTTCTGTCAATAAATTGTGATTGATTAAGACATTAGACAAAAATTTGATGAAGATTAGACTGTGAAAAACAATTTTGAAGCCAGAAATTGGGCGAGATATAATGAAATATAATATCCAGTCAAGATAATGTACTATACAATGATATTTTACATGCGGGAATACTGTAAATCACCTTGGAATACCAATTTACGATTATCTCATAGAGGGTTCCAAAAATCTTTTTTTTGGCCTATGGCTGACCTACCTACCCAACCCCCGGTGTGGCATTCAGATCCCTGAACCCCCTTGCAGGAATCTCAACACTCCACTGGAATCCGCTGGAATCCGCCGGAACTCATGTGGGAAGGTAAAGTACAGCACGGCGTGAGCATCCTGTTCTGTGGAATCTCACAGTGAGTTTGCGTGCCCTGGAATATGCTAACAAATTATAATCAAAGGTTGTTAACGGTTGCCACACTAACGAAAGTTATCAATGGTCCCTAATGGTCCCATGTTATTATTGCCTTATGTAAGCAGTCTCATTGGCGCATCCTGAGGCATTTAGTGCATCTTGAGGCTTTCTAGTATCTATTATGTATACTTTATCCACCAGGAAGGCTGTCTATAATGTTTTTGGGCCAAAATTTTTGAGCTTCCAATTTTTTTTTAACGGCCTGCCAGCCCAACCAACCAACTGGCCCCCGGTCTGAGATTACGATCCCGACACCCCCTTGAGACCAACCTTGCCTGGCGTATTTACAATTTATAGGAATTTGTGCTTACCACTCGTGAGTCCACTGCCTGGTTCACCATCTGCCACAATGAGGGACATTTCGTACTCATCATCTCAAGGGGGTGCCGGCCCAGGAATCCCATACCGGGACCCGGTTAGTTAGTCCAGCTGCAGGCTGTGAAAAAAAAAAAAGGATGCCTTGGGCAGAAGGCCTTCAATCATCAAGTTGAGTACCTTGCAGCATAATATGGTAACTACAGAATGTACTGGGAGGAATACAGCTCCAATAGAGGCCATCAAGCACTGTGATATAAGATATTCATTAATTCCTGCCATATTTGGGCATTTTTTTTGACATTACTTGAATTACCGTTGACCAACAATATCCTAAAATCTACAGTATGTCTAACATTGGTTTCACACATTCTATGTATCACACCATTGAGACGGAGCCACCTGCCCTTGATGCGGAGGGCTTCGCAATCTGTGGTAGCTGTGTATCCTCGTCAAATCCTCATATGCAAACAAGGTGTGCGAGACACACTGGGTAAGTACATTGTATTATGAGAACTGAGTGATTTTCCAACTCATGTTATTTGCCTAGTTCCATCTAAAATGTGTGGAACATGTGCAAGCACCCTGGAATTTTGCCTGCATGACTTGTGCAAGACACAGGGGAAGCACTCACAAATGATGTCATATTACTATATATAGACATGTTCCTGATTACGTTAGTTAGTTAGTCCATTTCAAGTCGCCTTAAAAAAAAAATTGACCCCGGGTCTTTTTTTTCAATGCCGGCACCCCCTTGCATCATCTCTGACTTATAACCTGACTATAGATTGCCGAAGTTGTCGAGTTGGAGGATCTCTCTCCTCTCAACGACAGCAAAGGGTCTTGACATCAATGTGGATGCAAACAGGTGGGCAAAGGTTGGGCAAAGGCGTGGGTTCCCCATCCAGCTTCAGCTGAACTCAGATGACAATTCCACCATCGTTGACGTGGGGCTTCAAGATAAGACCAGCATCGAGACACTGTTCGTGAGCAATCTTGATGGCATCTCCAGCGAGAACTGAAGGATTTGATCAGTAACGATACGGGATATCGATCAGTAACGTTACGGGATACATTGACTACATGAAGATTTATGGAGCATATAGGATGGGTCTCGCCAATACCGTTTCAGATGCGAAGGACGTTGAGGGGTGAGGGGCACAGAAAACGGTTTAGATAATGATCACTTTTGACAATGGTGTGTTTCTCTCCTTCCGTCGTCGGTTCCTCTAACCATCTCAAGAC